AAGTCTCTTGAATTTCCCTCATTTATAGTTTTAATTCGCTGATTCAGCGTGGACGACAAGGGGGTAGATAGCTCCTCCCTTGTGTTCTAATTTCCTAAAGTTAGGTTTTCATTGGGTCTTATCGGGATGTGGGCAGACCCCCTTGCGTCTGATCGCTGCGTAAGCAATCTCTTCCGATCCTCCAGTGCCCGAGTGAGGCAAACTTCTGGCGCTGTGAGGACACAGCCTTGCTGGGCAAGCAGATTCCTAACCTACTTGCCATTACTGATGTTTACAAGTTGCGGCAATAACTGTGCAACACTGTTCGCTAGGCGCGAACATTTTTGGGCCGTGGCTTCTTCTACTATCTCGAATTTTGGGGCATAACACTTACCATCCCCATCAATCGAACAAATCAGCCACAGCTTGCGCTGCATGCGGCCGAGCATTGTCCTGAAAAATGATGGGTGGGTTCTGCAGAAAGTGTCGCCGTATCTTTCTCAAATCTGGTCGCAGGTTGTGTTCCAAAAATGAACAGTAATACTGCGCATTGACTGTCTTCTGTTGGGGGACGGTATGCGTTAGGATAACACCATCACAGTCGTACACGAGAATCAACATAACTTTCACATTGCTGGGGTTCTGTCGAACTTTTGATTTTCGTGGTGNGCCATTCGTTCGATTGGCGTTTCATTTGTGGCTCGTACGATTTGGCCACTGTCTCTTCCAGCGTAATGATACGGCGTAAGAAATCTCCTTCGCGCTCATAGAGCTCCAAGTGGTTACGAGCAGCGTCGTATCATAGCCATTTCTGCATTTTCGTCAAATCATGCGTAACCCATCGTGATGCAATTTTTCTCATGTCCAGGCGTTCCATCAGAATGTGAAGCACAGTCGTATGTGCTAATCTAGTCTCTCGGACCAGCTCACGAATCGTATGGCTTCGATCACTCTCCAGTCAGGCGGAAAGAGCATACAGTTCTTCACTGACACTAGGACGACCTGGCCGACGCACGTGTGCCACATTTTGGGGTCCCTCGTTGAAGGCTTTTACCCAACTTGTCATTGTTCTGTAAGGCAATGCAGATTCCCCGCAAGCCTCTTGAAGACCTTGATGACACTGTCGTGCTGTACAGCCGCTGGCACATTCAATCTTTATCCAACTCCGTTGTTTCTGTTTTGAAAACATCATGACAGCACTTCATTAGACTGCCAGCTGATACGAGGCTGTGTTCTTCTCGTCACTGCGCATGCGCGTGATGTGGGAAGGGAGAGTCCATTTGCTCTGAGGTAATCTAGGTATGTAACTAACATGTGGTATAAGCGACATTATTTGGTTCCGTTGCATGGCGTCTCTACAACAGTGTTGCCACTATTAAAGTTCCAGCCCTCGTACATATTTGCTAGTCATTCCAGGCAAATTCTGTGACAGTTCTTTGAAATAGGCCAAACCGCTTCCTTCCACATCTTTTCAATTCACTAGCTACAATCACCATCTCATCTTACCGATGTTACATAAACGCAGCAGTTGACAAAGCATTGTAAAATGAACGAAGAATAAGCATTTATATTGGAAGTGTTCAAAAATGTATACTTTAAACGATTTTTCAAAGTTATGATAGAAAATCACAGTTTACTTTATACTGTAACATTCGTATTTCCCTGGTTTTATACTTTCCTCGATTATACGTTTGTTTTAGGCGGTCC